GATACATGTTTTGTCTATTACTTGAAAACAGCTATAGATAGAGAAAATTTAACAGGGGCAGATATGTTCATAATGTTGAGCTCTACCTTTTGTCCATACACATCGAAACTCTCACACGAATTCTTATAGAAGTTAATGTCCTTGAACGACAAATTTCTCCTTTTTTTCCATTTTTGTCTATTATCTTGAAATACATAAAAGTTATATAGCAAAAATGATCAGCAAGACAATATATACGAATAAGTCGACTTGGTCGATATCCTTGTAAGAATTATTAAACTCTAATTACGATTTTTACCATTTCTTTACGTTTTTGCCAATTATCTCACAAAAATCTTCTCCTCTTTAACAATTTAATCAAACTTGGCAACACGCTTTATTGAGGTATCTGGTTTGAAAACCCACATGATCAGCCATTTGTGAATTTATTTTTTGTTTCAGAATTCAGGGTACCAGTGTTAACGTTGCTTTTCATAAAATAAACAAAACCGGGTTCTATACATAGACAAAACCGGGTCATTGTGTAGTAAACAACATTGACAAAACCGGGTGCTTCCATTTTGACATGACCTATTTCTTTCGTTCCATAAGCAGAAATACAAGGATTGAGGTGGTCAAAGTGACTAGTTTAGCAATCTCCATGTCAATATCTTTATTTCCGTACCTTTCTTTCCGTACCATGTGAACAATTTAAGGAGAAATTAAACAAATTCGAGGCAAGGTTCACTCAATTCGTCATTTTGACGTGCATTTTTACTTATTTCTCCGTTAATCTAGAACAGTTATAGAAAATATTACATCTCACAATAGAAAATAGTTATATATGTATAAATATTCTTCGATATCATAACAATAACAAATAAATAAACAGAAAACTACCTTTTCTCTGTCTATTGATGTTCCGTCACCGTGCCGGATATTAGATACCATCGAGTCCAAACATTTTTTGCCGGGGTAGTTTAGACACAGTGATTTACTTTCCCTGTATTCTGGTGGTAACACAACTTTAACATAAAATTGACATAATCAATCAACCCTTTTACCTTTCGGTTTGATATTTTTCAAATTTAATATCTATTTTGACAGAAATTAGAAACACATTATCAATGCACTATTGCTTTTACTGATAATAATCGGTGCATTTAATTATAATGTATTAATTATGACCACTTATCGTTTACACAATGTAAAAAAGTATCTTTGATGGTTTTATTTCTCAACTTTAAATAAAGAGATATTTGAAAACATTTGTTTATCATCATAATTGCATTGGGTTCATTTATAAACTAACCTGGTGTGTTCTGCTCGATCAATTATCTATAAATTAAGCGTAACTCAAGAACTGATAAGATATTACACTTTTATTTACACAAATTACAGCTGTTGGTAAAAAAACATCACTTACGAAGTGTATAGCCACACGTTAAATGTTTTATCATCTTCATTTGACTTGTCGGATGTTACAAAGTTCACCTACATCATATATATTCCGATAAAAGTTATGTACATAGCCATTCCAATATTGTTCGATAATATTTATTATCTAAACGGAGGGAAATCTTCTTCCTCCCCTCCCCCTTCCACGAATAAAACGACGTCCGCCTCGTCCTCGATGGGATGATTCAAGGAAGCCTCTTAACTCTCGTAACTCATCCTGTAGTTTAGATATCGTATTTGCTTCATTTTTCAGTTTCTCAGTACTAGGTGCAGACATATTTCTAATAGCCCTCAGATACCGTTCATTCCATATCTCTTTCTTTTCCTTTACTAGGTAAGTCAACTTTTTTAGAAATGCCCCTTCTTCTGAGTTTCCACGACCTAACTGCCGCTCTGTTTCTTCAAGCAGGTTTGATATGCTGGATAGCATGCTTTTATGGTGCTCCTCACACATTTCAATTAGTCTACTAAGAAATTGTTCCGAAAGTTCATTTCTAACGATATCCAGTTTTTCGTTGAAAAACGAATTAGAGCCTTGGTCCAATGACGGCGTGAAATTTACTGTTAATCTGATATAACTTGGAAGGTGTGTCGGATCGACCTTACCAAGACTGTATTTTAAGGTGGCTACCTGGTATTTCTTTCTGAGTTTGTTTTCCAACTCCTCTAAACACTGCATGACTATTCCTTCCTTTTCATGATAAAAGTTTGAAATATCCGCACAATCCGTTTGGAAATCAAAAGATATATCTCCCAATGATGGGGTTTCTTCTGTCTTGCCCACAATTCCACTGCATGAAATAAAATCCTGCATGTTAGAATCTTCTTTTTCAAATTTTTTTCCTTCAGAAGAATTACTCTGTTTATTTAGACTTAGCATATTTAGTCTTTCCATTGCTAGTTGCATTTATGTAATTCAAGTTTATTTATAAAACTGTATACAATATAATGTCATATCAAATCACTGGTGGGACTGCCCTTAAAGTGTCAGATTGTAATTATGGACGATGTGGGTAAAACCCAGACTTTTAATAGCATTGCTGATGATAGATATTTCCTCCTGTGAATAAGCAGATACAGGAAATTTCAGCAGTGTTCAAAATGCACCAAATAAACACTTTATTGTGGTACGAGGAGATCATTAAAGTCAACAAGATGTCAACTAAACAATTCTCAGGCTGACAACGTGATAATAGCTCAAATATTTCAATAAATCGTTGTCACATCCTATTCCAGCACCCCAACTCCATAGATCACAAGGTGTTTCTAACATCTATTTAGACCAATTAGAATTAACTAACTGACCATGGCCATGTCCATCGTCAGGAGCCCAAGCCATTGCACAGCGACACTTATTATAAAAATACTGTAATTTTTATTAGGGGCTCGACACCTCATGATCTGTTAGACTAATACTTTTCTATACTCTTTTTCTATTTAACCATGTTTATCAATTTAACAAACATAGTATAGAATCTATTTTCATAATCTGCAACATGTTAATTACCCAGAGTTGCTGATGTTACTGTGTCTTTCAAGTTTTTATGCCTACGGAAAGCAAAAAGAGGTCTTTTATCAAATAAAAGTTTTGCCTCTTCTTCATCCTTTAATTTATCCCTGTGTTTTAAGATATTGTTCTTCATGTGTGATTTCTGTCTTGAAAACACTGTGGAGAATACCAGGGGAGGCGACTGTAATACTGATTTGGGTTTTACCATTAATGTGTCATTTCTTCGTTTTGCAGTCACTTCCTGCATAACAGTTTTAATTTCATTTTTTGGATATCCCCTTTTAATAAGGCTTTCAGAAAATAACGCATATTGTGTTTGCAAATCTACAGGATCGTTCGTACATCTCTTAAAGCGAAGCATTTCTCCTTTAATTATGCACCTGAAAGTAGAGGATGGGTAGCATGAAGACATTTCTAAGTACTGATAATTTTCAGTCTTTTTTCGGAATGTCGTGAGGTCTAAGATTCCTGTTTCTCTAAATCTTGGGCCTTTGAATACCAACACATCTAAAAATTGCATATTAGTTTGTGATTTCTCGTGTGTATTTTAATAAATCCTTGTCACATCCTATCCCAGCACCCCAACTCCAAAGATCACAAGATGTTTCGAACATCTGTTTAGACCAATTAGAATTAACTAACTGACCATGGCCATGTCCATCGTCAGGAGCTCAAGCCATTGCACAGCGACACTTATTATAAGAATACTGTAATTTTTATTAGGGGCAAATATTTCAATAAATCGTTGTCACATCCTATCCCAGCACCCCAACTCCATAGATCACAAGGTGTTTCGAACATCTATTTAGACCAATTAGAATTAACTAACTGACCATGGCCATGTCCATCGTCAGGAGCCCAAGCCATTGCACAGCGACACTTATTATAAAAATACTGTAATTTTTATCAGGGGCTCGACACCTCATGATCTGTTTGACTAATACTTTTCTATACTCTTTTTCTATTTAACCATGTTTATCAATTTAACAAACATAGTATAGAATCTATTTTCATAATCTGCAACATGTTAATTACCCAGAGTTGCTGATGTTACTGTGTCTTTCTAGTTTTTATGCCTACGGTAAGCAAAAAGAGGTCTTTTATCAAATAAAAGGTTTGCCTCTTCGTCATCCTTTCATTTATCCCTGTGTTTTAAGATATTGTTCTTTATGTGCGATTTCTGTCTTGAAAACACTGTGGAGAATACCAGGGGAGGCGACTGTAATACTGATTTGGGTTTTACCATTAATGTGTCATTTCTTCGTTTTGCAGTCACTTCCTGCATAACAGTTTTAATTTCATTTTTTGGATATCCCCTTTTAATAAGGCGTTGAGAAAATAACGCATATTGTGTTTGCAAATCTACTGGATCGTTCGTACATCTCTTAAAGCGAAGCATTTCTCCTTTAATTATGCCTCTGAAAGTAGAGGATGGTAGAGGATGGGTGGCATGAGGACCTTCTGATAATTTTCAGTCTTTTTTCGGAATGTCGTGAGGTCTAAGATTGCATTTTAGTTTGTGCTTTCTCGTGTTTAAATTTTAGTAGTGCATGGTGTCTGTTAGCATGTTCAAAAAATTGTGCTATTTCATCATCTGTACCTTCATTGTAAATAAAAAAGCCATCGTCCCTAAACCTATGGAGGCTCGATATTTTCTGTTTATGTTGGAAAGTCCTTAAAATACTATTTAAGACTTCATAAACTCTCAGATCCGTAATTTCAGGTGATAAACTATTTCCCATTGGAACTCCAGTTGAAGTTTTATTAAATTTATCATTGAACATAAATTCATTATTTTCAAGAACTATCTTTAGAAGTTCCAATATATATCGCAGGGGAGGCAATAGGATCGTATGTTTACATTTAATTATCGTAGGCCAAGCATGTTTGACTGCGTCAATCATTTCTGCATGGGACATATTCAACATGGCATTGATACTGCCAGAGACACATTCTTCGTATTATGAATACGAATATTGATGGTCGCAGGAACATTATGTTCGCAATGACTGCTATCAAGGGTATCGGTAGGCGTTATGCCAATGTTGTATGTAAAAAGGCTGATGTTGACATTTCCAAGAGAGAAGGAGAACTAAGTGAAGAAGAGATTGAAAAAGTCATCACTATCATGTCCAATCTAAGACAGTACAAAATCCCTGATTGGTTCCTCAACAGACAAAAAGATGTTAAGAATGGAAAATTCAGCCAAGTTATGTCGAATGCTCTGGATAACAAACTTCGAGAGGATTTAGAAAGACTGAAGAAAATCAGAGCACATAGAGGACTTCGACACTACTGAGTTGCTAAGGTGCAACGTATAACAAACGTATAACAAACGAATAAGTAATAGGGTATCAGTCGAGCGCTGAAACGGGTACATACGCGCTAATAGGGTTGTTTCAACTCGAAAAAACAATAGCTAACACCAGAGACAAGAAAATAAAAGAAAACAAAGCATTAAAGAGCTGCAACTTATAAAAAGTGAATAGGGAACGAATAATTAGCGAATAAGTAACAGGGTATCAGTCGAGCGATGAAACGGGTACATACGCGCTAATAGGGTTATGTCACCTCTATGAACCCATAGCTAAGACCAGAGACAAGAAAATTAAAGAAAAGAAAGCATTTAACAGATGCAACGTATAAAAAGTCAATAGGGAACGATTAAGTAGCGAATAAGTAACAGGGTATTAGTCGAGCACTGACACGGGTACATACGCGCTGATAGGGTTATGTCACCACTATGAACCAATAGCTAACACCAGAGACAGGAAAATAAAAGAAAAGACATTTTTAAAAAGGTACAAAGTATAACAAACGCATAACATAGAATTAGGAACGAATAAGTAACAGGGTATCAGTCGAACGCTGAAACGGGTACATACGCGCTAATATGGTTATTTCACCTCGAAGAACCCAAAGCTAACACCAGAGACAAGAAAATAAAAGAAAAGAAAGAATTAAAGGGATGCAACGTATGACAAGAGAATAGAGAACGAATAAGTAGCATATATGAAACATGGTATCAGTCGAGAGCTGAAACGGGTACATACGCGCTAATAGGGTTATTTCACCTCAAAGAACCCATAGCTAACACCAGAAACAAGAAAATAAAAGAATTTTTTTTTTAAAAAGGTGCAACGTATAACAAACGTATAACAAACGAATAAGTAACAGGGTATCAGTCGTGCGCTGAAACGGGTAGATACGCGCGAATAAGGTTATTTCACCTCGAAGAACCCATAGCTAACACCAGAGACAAGAAAATAAGAAAAAAAGAAATTTTTAATAAGGTGCAACCTATCACAAACGTATAACAAACAAATAAGGAACGAATAAGTAACAGTGTATCAGTCGAGCGCTGAAACAGGTACACACGCGCTTATATGGTTATTTCACCTCGAAGAACCCAAAGCTTACACCAGAGACAAAAAAATAAAAGAAAAGAAAGCATTAAAGAGATGCAACGTATAAAAAGTGAATAGGGAACGAATAAGTAGCAGGGTATCAGTTGAGCGCTGAAAAGGGTACATACGCGCTAATAGGGTTATTTCACCTCTAAGAACCCACAGCTAACACCAGAGACAATAAAAGAAAAGAAAAGAATTTTTTTAAAAGGTGCAACGTATAACAAACGTATAACAAACGAATAAGTAACAGGGTATCAGTCGAGCGCTGAAACTTGTACATACGCGCTAATAGGGTTGTTTCAACTCGAAAAACCCATAGCTAACACCAGAGACAAGAAAAGAAAAGAAAAGAAATTTTTAAAAACTTCCAAAGTATAACAAACGTATAACAAACGAATAAGTAACAGGGTATCAGTCGAGCGCTGAAACGGGTAGATACGCGCTTACAGGGTAATATTACCTTAACGAACCAATAATTAACACCAGAGATTAAAAAAGAAACAAACGAAAAGTCATTAAAAGGAGGCAACATATTAAAAGCGAATAAGTAACAGGGTATCTATCAATCGAGCACGAAAGCGGGCACATTCGCACTGACAGGGTAATTTTACCTCCTCGAACCAATATCTTACCTCAAAGTAAAAAAATAAAAGGAAAAAAAAGTATTAGAAGAGGGCAACATATTAAAAAGCGAACAAGGAACGAATAAGAAGTACGGAATAAGTAACGAATAAGGAATAAGGAATAAGTAACGAATAGGTAACGAATAAGGAATAAGGAATAAGTAACGAATAGGTAACGAATAAGGAATAAGAAATAAGTAACGAATAAGTAACGAATAAGGAATAAGGAATAAGTAACCAACTCGACGACCCTCTGATGAAGTTGGGTACCATCAAAGCGGTGGGTTCCTAAGATACAAATAAACAAGGTAGGCGTTTTTTTTTTTTCCTTATTTAAACTATTTCTATCGATTAACTGAGGTTACACTGCTTACAATTGTAATGCCGACAACTAAATATAAAGACATGATTTTATTTTATGCATACCTGATACCTGACAATATCGAATTCGATTGTCTTATTTCGTCCCGCAGGACAGAAATTCTAGTTTTCTTCTTGCTTGCAAATTTCCTAACATGAATTTCAAGAATATGAAGAGTATGATATTACAATTTGTGAGATTGTATGAGAAGGGATGTCCTTTAAATGGTATGGTTTTAAAAGAATCAAGACAAAGTTTACTGTACTTTTCTCTACCTAAAAAAGGTACAATACTGTAACTTGTTTTGCTTTTGTACGGCGTTTTGTTAGATATTTGATTTCTAATATGACGTTCTTTCTAAAAAAAGATCTACATATGTCTTAATTTCGGTAGTTTACACTGTAGATGATAAACATCATTTGTAGTCCTGCAATTAACAGTACATGGTGTATTCCGTACCAGTAAAGTGTTTTTTTAAGTCTGGGTATTCAGTTCTTGCTTGTAAGTCAGACATCGTTTGTTTCCACATCCCTTGCAACAGCTCAATGACGTAGAGCCCGATTCGATGATAAATCAGCTCTAACCAGTCTTTAAGGCTGTTGGGCCTACGGAAAGCCAATCAGTCATCAAGAAGAAAATAAATCTTCTTAAAAGTTATGAAGAAAACGTGCTATTGCCTTAATGTATTGTGAATAATTCAAACTATAAATGCTGTACATATTCGTAATCATTCATAATTTCTTATTCTAAATCTTGTTGCAGAATCCCTCTCTCAACAGGTATCGAAAATAATGTTCCCGAAAAAGGATTCGGAGATGATAACTAAGAAACAGAAAGACAGGTAAAAAAAATCAATATTTACCGGCAAGATTCTTATTTTGTCTTTAGAGCTAAGATATTCGTAATTATTCATAACTGTGTTAGTTTAAAAATATTTCCGTAGGCCCAATTATGAATAATTAGGTTAGTTATACAAAAACTACCTTTTTTTGGCTCCAATATTCATGTATTATTTTAGCAGAAAACTAATAAAGAATACTCAAAAAGGATACGAAGATAACAGTCTCTGCAATATATAAATCTAAGTATGTGTTTAAGTCAAAATGTGTAGAAAAGTGTGTTTTATTGACGGAAATGAGAACCCGCATGCAAGAACAATTACTGATTAGTGCATATCGCTGTATATGAGTTAACCAAGAAACGAAATGTCTGCTTTTTATGTTCATTTTGTTGTTTTACATTAATTGTTAAAAAAAGCAAATTGCTATTTACATAGTAATATGTTTAAGGGCATAGTGGGGGTCTTGGCAGGTCTTTATGGATAGGATTTATAGACTCTGTTTTAATTAATAGCTATTGGATAGTGCTACAGTTCTGTTTTATCGAAATTCTTGGGCAAGCATTCTAAAAGGGATAAAACATTCGTCCGAAGTATTGAAAAAACCATACTCTATGAAATGATCATTGGGGGTATCCACTTTTCAAACTGTTGTCTTGGCAGGTTTTATGGCTAGGCATTTTAGACGCTGCTTAAATTTAGTGCTATTGGATAGTAGTACAGAGGGATAGTATCGAATTTCTGGAGTTAGCATTCTCAAAAGCCATAATGTTTCGTCCGAATTATTGAAAAAAGTCGTATTCTATAAAATGGGCATATATGCTCCTTCCACTTGAGACTGTGAAACATCTAGTTTTAAATATGTTTCCTATGGTCAGGTCATTACAGGAGAACTCAACATCATTGAAGACCGGACCTATATATCGTCCTTCATCAATTATACATTGGAAACAGTGTCGTCAGGTCAGGTCATTAAAGACGCCCAATCTGCCTACTGTAGAAATTGGTGTAAACGTGAAAAATCTGATAAAAAATCTCTAGACAGTTATTTAACTAAAATTATGAATACTGTTGATATTCGTATATCTCATTTTGAAAACAATTATAAAATAAATAATAGCGTTCATGGTATACCCATTTCTAGAATAAAAAAATAAACTCCAAGTACTCGCAAAGCGGTTTGTGTTCGTACCGGCAGACAAATCAGCTAATAATGTAGTGGTGGTGTGACGCATTTATTAGAGAGAAGTTCACCAAAACGAAATTATCAATTCTTCTACATCCAGATCCGTACGCTCCACAGAGAGTCAAATTGTAAACAAGCATATCACTGCCACTACCTAGCTTTAAGCCTCTTCCGAAAATTTGAAAGTCCCGACTATGTACTTGTTACCTAAATTACACAAAAAAACATTTAAATGTCGTTTCATATCCGCATCTGGTAAGTGTTCAATTACTTATCTGTCAGTGCTTCTAACTACCCCCTTTCTACTATCAGAGAACGTATTAATAACTTTTGTAATAAAGTTAATGAAAATAATGGTATTAATTATTTTTGGAGTGTTAACAATTATTTAAAGGTTTAAGATAAAAAAAACAAAAACGTGCTTTTTGTAGTCTTTTTAATGCTACAATTGCACACAATCTTATGAAGAAAAAATTCCATATTTGATTAAATGATCTTTTGAAAAATCTCATTGCAAATGTATTTGCTGTAACTTGTTAAAAGCTTTTTTCTGTAACGAAAAAAGAAAGTATGCTAGATACACTTACTGGAAATGTGAAGAAATCATTGAAGCTTTAAATTTTCTTCTGGACAACATATAAGTACGTTTCGGCTATAAAGTGTATCGACAGGTAGTAGGTATTCCTATGGGCACTAATTGCGCCCCTTTAATAGCAGATTTATTCCTATATTGCTATGAATAACAGCTTATGGGTAAACTCAGTAAAGACACATTGTTATATTTGGTTGACACATTCAACAATACCTACCGTTATCTTGATGATATTTTTTCGTTAAATAATCCAGAGTTCTATAAATATACTTCCGAAATTTACCCAAAGGTACTAACTTTATATAAATCTAACATAAACAGCAGTAGTTGTCCTTTTCTAGATTTACACATTTCAATTTCTAAAGGGAAACTCCATACCAAAGTTTACGACAAAAGAGACGATTTTTCAATCCCTATTGTTATTTTTCCTTTTTTAGAAGGCGATGTTCCTTTGGCTCCATCATACGGTGTTTATATATCCCAACTCTTTCCCGTGTGTGTAGTGATGTCATAGATTGTAACGAACGTAATCAATGCATAACTGGTAAATTATTAAGTCAGGGATTTCGTTACCATAAATTACTTAAAACATTTACTAAATTCTTTCATACATACAAAGATTTCTTTGGTTAATTTTGGCTGTAACTGTAGAAAACTTGTTAAAAACGGTATTTCACATCCTTAAATTTACGGTAATATTTTACTAAAAGCGCGAAAATCACTATGTGATCCGTGTATACTTATCGAATCTTTAAACAAACTTTTTAGTAAAGTTTATCTTATTAATGTTGTAATAATATCTTTGAGTATTGTTTACATTGGCACTAACATCACTATTGTACATGTCATCAACATATTGAAACATAACTAAATTGGTATTTTTTTCGAATGGTTTTTGGGATGTATAAATACTCATCCAAGGTAATTTTCTATTTAGACATTGCTTTATCTGTATATAACATGATAGATAACCATTATAATGTTAAATCCTAACGATCCTACTGCCTGTCGATACTTTTATTTTGGCATTGCACAAGTCATTTCTTCTTTGACTGCCCATGGCGTTAAAACACTATTTTGTCCCAGGTAAGAGTTGTCTTATTTACACTCTTACTACATCTTTTTTATTTCTACCTGTAGCCTCTATGTAATATAGGCACATACTTTTTAATATTAAATTCATATTGTGTCAAAGATCAAACTTATTCGTTCAGTGTTAGTTTAATTGTTTTTTGTTTAAATATCTTTTTGATCGAGTTAAGACATTTCAATTGATATTTTTTAGTGTCTTTTTATGTTGTAATGTACACTACTGTCTCAGGTTAGGGTGAAGGTTGGCGCCTGTTAGAACGTTTTAACCCGCTGCATTTTTATGCACCTGTTCTAAGTCAGGAGCCCATTGTTCAGTGGTTGTCGTTTGTTGGAGTGGTTCATATGTGCTTTTCGTTTCTAGTTTTTTAAATAGATTAGACCGTTGGTTTTCCTGTTTGTATTGTTTTACACTAGTAATTTTGGGGCCCTTTATAGCTTGCTGTTTGGTATGAGCCAAGGTTCTGTGTTAAAGGCCGTATTTTGACCTATAATTGTTAACTATTTATACATTGTGACTTGAATGGAGAGTTGTCTCATTGGCACTCATACCACATGCTTACCCCACAAATTCAACAGTTGAAAAGGGGGGGGGGGGGGGGGGGGAGGGAATATTAGGGAAACCTAGGCCGCAAATAGCTGATTGTTCAATATTGACCAAATCATCCATTTAATGAAGTTAATATATGTAAACTAAGTTTGTATCAGAAAGTTGAATCATAATATATTATTACATATTAAGAAAAACATTTTATTTTTTAAATCGAAAAGAAAAAGAGGAGGTAAATGTTGACTTTTGGTCCACATAAAATATATTTAGAGAGAGAAATTATAATAATTTAAAAGAAATAACTTTTAATCTGAAAATCACTTAGTCAAGGTAATTAATACAGTCTCTAGTAATCACTCTTATTGAATTAGTTTTTTTTTATAAGCACTGATATTTAAGTGCATTTTTTACTGTTTCTATCATTCGGCCACTGACATTATTAGTAATTTCTAAGAGGTCAAAGGCCAGGTACAGTACTCACAAAACATGTTTACACCCCCTTAACAAGTCTGTTATTTGATTAAAATCAAGTCATTTGATTGCACTTACTGGTCAAATTACAAATTAAAGTTATTACAACTTTTTGAAATTTCAACAAGACTTACAGTAAAATATTTCTGCATTCATAACTTGTACCCTGTACATTCATGTACCTTTGTATTCCAATTTTGAACAGATCCGATAGCATTCCATAGCAGTTATTAGCAGTTTTGAAAACCATATTAGGATGTACAACTTAGCAGTTTATATGAATATTCATTATGGTTAACTGTTATTATAGCAGTTCTCAAAAATATTCAGAGAAGATAGCAGTTTTTTGGTATCTCATTAAATTTTTCGTCGAAAATAACTGCTAAATAACTGTGAAGGTTAAATAAACTGCTAAGAACTGCTATGGAATGCTATTGGAATGCCTGTATGCAAATTAAACATTGCCTTGAATTTGGCAACTGTGAATGCTAATGTACTGCTAAAGAACAGCTGTAAAGTATGAACTGTAAATGCTAATAAACTGCTTAAGAACTGCTGTCCTCTTTGACTTTTGAGCTCTTCTAGACAAACGTCTGTGTATATGGTAGCATATCCTTGTCATATCCAATTTATTTATAGTTATTATGGTATGGGGAATGCTGTGATAATACTATAAAACAACATGTCTAGTCGTTGGTTTATCTCGGTTGAAATATTTCTCATTGTATTTCGCCATGGTAATTTGTCGAATATGAAAATTGTTTTCATTTTCTAAACACATTTTACCTTTGTATTGTTGGGACAAATGTAAGATCATGCATGGTAACTTTTAATTTTGCACAAATATTTGGGCCAAATAAGTGCCTAATTGCACCTTCTTTTTCATTATGACGTCAGATTGAACGTCGATTTGAGAAAAAGACGTTGATTTGAGACCGGACATCGATCTGAGTCCAACCAACATATATAATGGCCGCGGTTATATCAATACGTTTTTGTTACTTTTTCGTAGCTTTGGTTGTTTTCGTTAAACACATGTACAGTTGTGTTATCTTTCTAAATCATCTGCAAATCTTCCTAATCAGTTTTATTGTTATATTTTAACACTGTGCGGGACAAATTTGCTATTCCGGATTGGCAAATCTGACTTTGTTGTTTAACAAGATTACAAAAATATTTTTTGACAAGTGATAGATAATGAAAAAAAAATAATTTCCCCATATGTCCTAACATGTGACTGTTGTGACTGTTGTCACTAAAGCTGATTAAAAGAAGATTTTCCATGGGAAATTAAAAAATTTCCATAGGAATATAAGAAGTTCCTATTGGGAAAATTTAAAGTTCCCATCGGAAAAAGCACTTTTCCCATGGAAATTTTAAAGTTCCCATCGGAATTACAATTTCCTATGGAACATTAGTAAATAGTTTGTTCCCATGGGAAATTCTAAATTTCCCAAGGGAATTTTTCTTCCCAAGGGAACTAGTTTTTCTTCCCATGGAAACATATATTTTTCCCATGGGAACATTTATTTTCCCTTTATTACTTTTCGGAATTGTTAAAGAGCTACGAAATATCGCAAAGAACTGACGGGTACTAATAACCAGGAGCAATTTATAAAAATTTTCATTTGATAAAAAAAATATGTAATTACACTAAAATAAAGGTATTTCTATCATACTTTTACAATTTGAATCTTTCACCTTTGTTTTCGATTAATATCATCGTGCATTTCATGTAATATTGTTCGCTGAACTGCCAAGGATCAGAACCATGCCTGTGTGTTTCGGAATTTAATTTATAAATAAAAACAAATAAATCTGTTTTAATTTATATACATGGAAAATCACGAATCGTGTTTAAGGTTGTTTTCTAGCTATATTCCTTGAATTTATGAAATTGACATCATAATTATTATAAATATACTTATTCTTTTTCATATACGTAACTCGATATGCGTGTTTTCGCCACTATAAAGATGTGCACTGATTTTTTAAAAGTTTATTTCATTCATTCGGTCAAATTTCCTAATTCAATTTGTTACTCGTCTATAAAAAAATCTTTTATTTTGTTTCATTTTTCGCAAACACCTTTGAAAGTTAGGATAGATTTGTCTTTTATGATCTCTCGGGTAAATATCAAAAATAATCCAGTGTTTGTATTTAGAAGGACGGATGAGGATTAAATACTTTATGGTATTATATACACTTGTATTTTAACCTTAGGGTTTCTTTTACAGTTTAAAGGAGCATTGTCGTCTTTTGCAACTAGATCAAAGACTTAAATGATGTTTTTGCGCTTGCATACAGGTAAAAGAACTATTTGATCTTTTTAATTTAAAATAATTGCTGGTGAAATTTTGTACGAATAGATCGAATTGTTCCAGTTTGCAAATTCTATTAAATTTGCTTTTTTTCTGCACTAGGTAGGTGAAAATTTATTATCTAGGATCCCGGGAATTACACGTCTATGTATAAAATTTATTGTAAAATCGCCAAACTTGCATTACGATCATATTTTGTATTTCTGAGTTTGAATAAAGAGTCTAAACTTTTTCAAATATTGAATACGCAACCAAATCTCTGTAACCTTATTTGATTTATTCAATTGATGTTTCTGAAGGCGGTTGATTGGGTATTAGTTTAAGGTAGGCGTGGTAATCTGTAACTTTCCTCCAATCAGCTTGTCTATTCAACAAACGTGTGTGCGCTGATGCGTGAAAACTGGTAATAGTTTTTTGACAATGTATATGCTTTAGCAACATATAATTGAATAAAATAAAATTGAGAATGGAAATGGGAAATGTGTCAAAGAGAACAACCCGACCAAAGGACAAACAGCCGAAGGCCACCAATGGGTCTTCTACACAACGAGAAAATCCCGCAACCGGAATCGAGCTTTAGCTGGCCCCTAAACAAAATGTGTAATAGTTCAATGTGGAAAGACCTATTGTATTTGTTCTGATTGTTTTTTTTTTGTTGTTTTTTTTAACAATTAAATCATCTTTATTGCACTAAATGCTGTTTAACAATTTACTTAGCTTACAGCATTGGGCTAAGTTTCCCTGTGTATTTAAAATTATTATATATCCAGGGAGAATATATAATAAAATATATATAAATGTTAGTATTATACAATTAAACATAATACATAATATAAATAAACGTCAATTTAAACTGATTCATTGATTTTTTGTCTGCTTACAAATCGGAAAAAATAACGGATCTTCACCGTTACATTTTGTGATTATTATGTGTATTTACTTTCTCACAGGATACCTGTGTAATTGGAATTTACTTATTCTTTTATAATTTGAAGGATTTATTTTTCAAACTTACATGCTTGACCATGTTAATGGAAATACATATATAGGTAGGTGTATATAGTTATGTTAAATACAAATCAATAGGTTATTTGCGATGCATTTTTTTTTTTGGCTCCTCGTGGTATATTATTTATAGACTGGAAGTAGCATGTGTTGATTTGTCAAACATACTCATTACCTACAGATATCACTTACAAGTTACAATATGTCGATGTCTTTAATAACATTTTTCCGGTTTCGATATTTCTTATCGCATTTAATTTTATAATGTCGTATATTTCCGTTTTGAAAATTTTGAAGATATCTATCTTTGTTTCTTTTTTGTTTGAAATAAAATGTGCTTTATATATAGAGAAAAATATAACTGTTATAAGGGTGTTTATATCAAAATATTTTATATCTGATATTTTATAGCCAGTTATTAAATTTTCTAACCTTAGAATGTGTCTGTTTATTTGAAGATAAAGTAGTAGTTTATATATTTCATGCCAGTATTTAGTATTATAAGGGCATGTTATGAAAAAATGTTTATAGTTTTCAATTTCTTTGCAGAAATTGCATGAACTGTTTTCTAATACTTTCCACTGAACTAATAATTCATTGCATGGAAGGATGAAATGGAGTAATTTCCATTTAAACATTTTAAATTTGTTGTTATCTAGGTATTTAAATATAAAATTAAGAGTGCTTTTTAATTTTATGTTAAAATTTTCTTTGAAAATTCTTTCCCACTTAAGATAACCTACAGGTTTTTCTTGTTTATGAGGGGCAAATAATATTGAATATATTTCTTTATTACTCATTTCTGGATAGATATTATGATTGAGTAGTATTTGCAGATTTTTGGTATTCTTTATATGTACTTTTGTTTTAAATGAGCTTTCTTACTTTAAAATATTCTGCCAATGTTTTGGAATAGCTTTCTTTATTAAGGATAATTCTCTAATCCAATCTCGTTTATCTTTTAGTTTAAGTAATATTTTATTTTCTGATATATAACCTCTTTCATCTAGTATGTCATTTACATACAGAATATTATGTTCAATCCATTTAGTAAACAATAAGTGTTTTCCTTTTGTTTGTATATTATAATTGCCCCATAAGATCTGCTTTCTTGTTCTGATTGTTATTATTATTATTATTATTATTTTTTTCTTCCACCTAATTTTGTTCTCGCGTAAAATTTTTGTTTTGCAAGATGTCGCTTAGATATTTCTTATGAAGTATCATACAGTTTATGCGCTTTTTATTTTCACCCATTCTAAGCCGAACAATTTTCTTTGTAGGAGTTATCTCCCTGAACACTGTTTTCGTTGTGACTGCATCTCCTCCGTAACCGTAAAAGAAAGCGACAAATTTATTTTATAAAATTGCTCGTTATATCCTTTGCATGATTTGTCCTATTTTGACCGAAGTGATATGAACATTATGCATTTCTCTCTTGTAAACCATAAGTGATACGAATACGAATACGAATACGAAAGTTTTATTTTGATTCGGTTCACATATAACAATACAAACATAAGCTCTTAAGAGCTTTTTACCGAATATAAGGTAACACAAACACAACATTAAAACACACAACATGCAGACAGGATATATAACAGCACAGTCATATCGAAATACATGCAAAGCACTTTTAAAATACATATATAAAGCCAAAGCTGAAGCACAACTAAAAATTAAGCACAACTAAAATTAAGCACAAATAAAATATAGCACACATGCAAAAATTTGAGGCATAATAACATGTTAGAGCAACTTCTAAAATATAATAAAGCTTATCTACAAGCAGAACAACAACATTTTGAACCATTCCAAGACTGTATAAGGCTCTTAAATTGAGAAAAACTGTTTTCAGTCCTGAAATGGTCAGGTAGGCTGTTCCACAGAGTAGCAGCTGCAAATTAAAAATTTTTCTTACCAAACTGTGTAGTTTTTACATGTGGTATATCCAGTATATTACTATATCTGAAAGAATATTTACAATCTTTTACATTTAATAAATCATGTAAACAGACAGGTGCTAATTTATTGACTATATTAAAAGTTTCAATTGCCATAGATCTTTGTCTTTTAATATGCAGTGAAGGCATCTTAGCCTTTTCAAGCAACTGTTGATATGAGCTTGAATGGTCTTCGTACACAAACCTTAGTGCTCTGTCTTGCACTTTTTCTAATTTTTTTGAATTTTTCTCGGTACAAAAATGCCATGCCAAAGGGCAGAAATTGAAGTTTGACAAAATAAATGTACGGAAAATAGTAAGCTTACTTAGCTTGTTCAGATAAGCTCCCAAACGTTTCAAAATATTTAGTTGCTGAGATGCCTTCCTGCATATTTTACCAATATGAATATCAAAATTTAGCTGATAATCTATGTCAATGCCAAGTAATTTGACAGTTGACTCACACGAAAGATCAGCACTTTGGATACGTATAGATGGATTTTTGTTATATGTCTTTTTCCCAACTGCTAAGACCTGAAATTTGTCGGGGTTTGCCTGCATTTTATTTATTTTGAACCACTCAATAAGTTTGAGTGATTCAGATTCCAAAGTAGAAATAAAAAAATCACCAAGTTGAATTTTAAAAACCTTTTCATAAATTTTAGAAAAAATTGGTAGAACGCTGACAGGCCTATAATTGGCTTTGTCAAGTTGGTTGTTTTTCTTGTGATAGTGAAGTGATAGAGACCTAGGATCTTTTGATTTGAGGTCCTTGATCCAAAAATAAGAAAATTAGGTCAAGGTCAGATGTCAAGGTCATATTTTAAATTTTGATTTTGTCTTATTTTCAATTCTTTTCAAAAACCGTATAAGATATCGACAACATATTTTTACTAAATTGTAAGTTGCGACATGTCGTAACACATACATTTTGGTTGAAAGGGTACGCTAACATTAAATTGGAGTTTTCTCCCCTCTTATATTAAAAATTAGACATATTGTGATATAACTCATCCACCATATATAATTAAGACCTAAAGTCTTTTGATTTGAAGCCCTTGGTTTATGACCTTGAAATTGAGCTCAAGGTCATAGGTAAATTTGACGTTCAAGATATTGACCTTTGCTTTTACCTCATATGTATACATGATAAAGCCATGGGACTTTTTGCATTACGATGCAAGCCACTTGACCATGGAAAAGCCAACCGGAAGTGACCTGGTGTAAACCGGAAGTAGCTATTTTTTGTACTTATTTAATGTTAAAGTATATTGAACTATATATTTTTGAATCAGTATCAAAACTATCAAATACAACCGGAAGTGACATATTTCAAACCGGAAGAAACAATTTATCTCCCTTATTTAGAAAAAATGTACAGAAACAACACATTTTTGGAATCAGTGTACAATAAGCTATCATTTGACGCTGGATATGATATATCAAACTGAATTTTAATAGTTCTATATCAAAATTGATCTTTATGGGTGGAAAGACCTTCAATTGTTCTCTGAACAATTGGTTTTTAATTAGGTCTTTCCACTTTTCTGTGGAAAGACCTATTGTATTTGTTCTGATTATTAGGTCTTTCCACTTTTCGGTGGAAAGACCTATTGTATTTGTTCTGATTATTATTATTTTTTTTTCTTCTTCTTCCGCCACTTTTATTTTTTGCGTATAAATTTTGTTTCGCAAGATGTCGCTTAGATGTTTGGTATATGATATCGAACAGTTTATGCGCCTTTGAAATTCACCCTGCGTAACCGAATACTTTTCTTTGTAGGAGTTATCTCCCCGAACACTGTTTTCCTTGTGACTGCATCTCCTCCGTAACCGTATAAGAAAGCGACAAATTTATTTTATAAAATTGCTCGTTATATCCTTCGCATGATTTGTCCAATTTTGACCGAAGCCATACGAACACTCCATATGAGAGTTATTTCCCCTGATGCATTTGATATAAGTGATATGCATTTCTATCTTGTAAACCATAAGTGATAGAGACCTAGGATCTTTTGATTTGAGGTCCTTGTTCCAA